CACACAGAGCAGATGGCTGGAACAAGGCTTTTTCTCAGGGAGAAGCGGCTCTGGTTCGTCAGTGCTGCTGCTCCTGCTGGACGGAATGCAGAAATAGAAACAGACTAAAGCCTGTCAAACTCAGCTCAGCTAAACGGACAGAGTGCATCCATGAGCCATCACCCTTACTCGAATGTTTTGGAGATTGGCTCTGTGAATGAAGTTGACTGTGCATTTGCCTAAACCGTCTATAAGGGACACTGGAGAAGAGTGTTTTAAACCGCTGAACATGCCTACACTAGACACTGCACACTGTAAAACATGTACAGTTAAAATTGTTAATGTAACAACATAAACTGTAACATAAAACACTAATGTACACACAGTAACTAAAAAAAACTAAGAAACAAAGTTATTTCAATGAAAACCATTAAATGTGAGCTGTCACACAGTGAATTCTGGGAATGTCAAGTTAAGTTTTTTTTTGTGACTTGTTATTTTCTGCTTGTGACTTTTTTTTTTTACTTCCAAAACTGTAAAATTACATGCAATGTCAGTTTTCAACATACAGTATAGGGAACTTACCATGCAATGAACAGGTTTTTATTGTAGCCGTCTTCAGTCATTTTTTACAGGGTAGAATATTCAAATTCATACGTAACTGATCTGAAATATTCCCATTCTGTGTTCGCACAGAGACACAACAGCTTGCAAAGCCCACAGATGGACGGCTCTGATCTGTTGCATTCTTGTGTGATTTGCAACAAGCTCTTTATGTAACATGTCAGGGGGAAACCGATTTTGTCAGGTGGAGATGAGGTTCATAAGTTCATGGCTAGTTTAAACTGAAGCATTCCAAGTCTTTACATTATTTCCATTTAATTCCAGCTTCCCTCCCTCCTGCGTCTGCGTGCTCAACTGTTGGATCAAATCAGATTAGCTTCTTCTGAGATACATGTGTAGACCACGAATGTGATTAAGGCCTTGTTTCTCTGCCTCTCTCTTTCCTCAGACATACGTGGGTTTATTCTGAGAGCTGATTCAAATACAGTAGCTGAGGGTGAGGCAAAAAATATTTAACGGAACTTTTGATTTAAAAAAAATATTCACTCAAATTGCATGCAAACATCAGACCATAAAATCCTAGACATGATTTCATTAGTCTTTGTTACTGTAATATGGGCCATCTGGAGACACACTATTTTCCTATTTAATACTGTAAAGCTGCTTTGACACAATATGCATTGTTAAAAGCGCTATATAAATAAAGGTGACTTGACTTGGTGTAAAGATGTTATTCTTGAAGCTCATTTACAGAGCCTTCTGCCCTCAAAAGATGCTGCTTCAAGAAAGAAAGAAAGAAAGTAGATGCATTGTATTCTTAAAAGGCCCTTCGCAGGTGTTTGTTTGTTTGAAGACGCAGCTGTGCTTTAAGTGTACGTATGAACAAACTCTTCATCTCCTGATAAAACACTGCACTATTTCCTCAGCTTGATTACAGCTAGAGTTACTCTGGCTGTTTGTGAAGACGCAGTGCTCGCTCCATTTGTTGAGGACAATTAGAGAATGAATACATCAAGAAGACTCACCATATATCTCTT